TGATTAAAGCTCCCAATGAATTGTTTGTGATTTCTGGTTTCCTCATTGCCTTGGACAAAACATACAGACTTCTGAATTAACCTGCACCAGGAACAGTGCAATAATCTTTATACAGTAGAGTCTCGATTATCCAACATAAATGGGCCAGCAGAACACTGGATAAGCAAAAACGTTGGATAATAAGGAGGGATTAAGAAAAAGCCTTTGTTGTTGTTGTTCATTCGTTCAGTCGTCTCCGACTCTTCGTGACCTCATGGACCAGCCCACGCCAGAGCTCCCTGTCGGCCGTTACCACCCCCAGCTCCCTCAAGGTCAGTCCAGTCACTTCAAGGATGCCATCCATCAATCTTGCCCTTGGTCGGCCCCTCTTCCTTTTGCCTTCCACTTTCCCCAGCATAATTGTCTTCTCTAGGCTTTCCTGTCTCCTCATGATGTGGCCAAAGTACTTCATCTTTGCCTCTAATATCCTTCCCTCCAGTGAGCAGTCGGGCTTTATTTCCTGAAGTATGGACTGGTTGGATCTTCTCGCAGTCCAAGGCACTCTCAGAACTTTCCTCCAACACCACAGCTCAAAAGCATCGATCTTCCTTCGCTCAGCCTTCCCTAAGGTCCAGCTCTCACATCCGTAGGGTACTACAGGGAATACCATGGCTTTGACTAGGCGGATCTTTGTTGCCAGTCTGATGTCTCTACTCTTTACTATTTTATCGAGATTGGACATTGCTCTCCTCCGAAGAAGTAAGCGTCTTCTGATTTCCTGGCTACAGTCTGCATCTGCAGTAATCTTTGCACCTAGAAATACAAAGTCTGTCACGGCAAGAAAAAGCCTACTAAACGTCAAATTACGTTATGATTTTACAAATTTAACACCAAAACATCATATTTTACAACAAATTGAAAAAAAAGCAGTTCAATACATGGTAACGTTGTGTAGTAATTACAGTATTTATAAATTTAGCACCAAAACATCACGATGTATTGAAAAAGCTATGGATCCAGGTGAGAGGCAGACTGCATTGGATAATACAGAACGTTGGATGAGTGAAGGTTGGATAAGCAAGACTCTACTGCACCAACAAAGCTGGAGAATATGTTACGCCAGACCAAAAAAAATTCATATCAGGAAATCATGCCTAATAGCTGAAGGGAAGTGCAGCCCTCACTGAAAGGCAGTCCCATATCATTGTATCTGAGAAAGAATTCTGGGAGAACTAAATGGTTTACAGCTGGGACATTATAGGGATATAATTAAGATTTTATTCAACTCTTTTGTATTTAAAAAAAATAAAGTATATTTTTTAAAATAAAAAGGTTAAATGATTAGAGAAACTGTAATTTTAATGTAGCAATCTCCAACAATGAATAAAATGAATAGGTTAGTTCTGATAATAAGTGAAAAGAGGAGGAGCAGCAAATAATTACTTTTAAAATTTAATGTTCCAGCCTTAGGTATAATGGAGCTGTGAGTCTAAAATTTCCTCTGCTGTGGCAACAGTTCTGTTTCTTCATGCATTTGTATGAGTTAACTGTTCCTGTTGCTTCGAGGTGGAAAGAAACATTTAGGTAGGCGTATCTTCAAATAGATAACTCCGTGAAATTTTAGAAAAATACTCTATCCACTCTAATCTGGACAGTGTTTAGATAGGACAAGTTCTTTTAATATGAACGAAGAAGAACTTGTGAAGTTTAGATAACTATAATCCAAGGCTTTCCCATTTTTCTCCTCTTTTTAGTTTCTTTTCTTTCCTGTTCTCCATTTTTGGAGACTGATAAAAGACAAATGTTCTTAAAGGTTGCTAAATTTAAGGTTTCAGAGAACTGTGCAGTTCTTCAGATTAAGCTCTAGGAAGCTCCCTGAACTTAATGAGTGGAAGCTTTGGCAAGGTTCTCTTATATATTTTTTGTAATTTTAATCTAGTCCATGTGATTACAGACAGAATTGGGTGCAGGACTAAACTGACCCTCTTTGCTGCAGTTTTGACCCCTTTTCCTGGAATGTAATTACATCCACCTTCTTGCAAGGCATTTATTTGATTTATAGATAGTGTATTTATAGATAGTGTATCAAAATGAAACTAAGACATTCCTTTGGTGTCAGAGATCACAGATTTTGTATTAAAACAAAATTAAAAAGAAAGATCCAGCTTTAGAAACTTGGGAGACTTGAAGTCATCTGTTGCAACATAACTGAAATAAGAATAGAAAAAAATACTAAATGTAAAACAATGTATGTGCAGAAGGTTAGAAAATGCATCTCTAAGTGAAAATAGAAAAGATTTCGCTTGATAAGTTGTCATACCACTGGTCCTTCCTTCCCATCCCAGGATCTCCTGAGCATGCTAACGAAAGTAGGGCAATAGACAAAGACTGCCATGGATTGACTCAAGACTAAGTGCATTGTATTGTCAAAGGCTTTCATGGCCAGAATCACTGAGTTGTTGTAGCTTCTTCGGGTTGTATGGCCATGTTCTAGAAGCATCCTCTCCTGATGTTTTGCCTGCATCTGTGGCAAGCATCCTCAGAGGTTGTGAGGATGCTTACCACAGATGCAGGCAAAACGTCAAGAGAGAATGCTTCTAGAACATGGCCATACAACCTGAAAAACCTACAAAAACAAAGTGCATTTTTTTAAGGTTGTAGATTCCCCCCCCCCCCCACCAAATCTTTTTATGAGCAGGGGGAATGTATAGTAGCTACCAACAACAACTAGCATCCTCTCTCATGACCACCTGCCCTACTTCACTATTTTATGCCTGTATTTTATGCACTTAGTCTATGCCTGTCCGCAACTAATTCAGAGCAGCCATGAGATGTTCAGGAGCTGCTCTCAGAAGCAAAGCATTTAATGAATACCTGAGGCAGCTGCTTGCCTGGGCCATGGAGTGGAAGTGCTATTTCTCCTCTCCACCCTCGCCCCTCAGGCAGCTGAAGCCATAGCTGACTGACCACGTCATCTAGGTCTCTGTCAGCTGTTGGGAGTCTTGCTTTTACCTTGATTTCCACTGAAAACACCCACCTGCTCACCCTTCTCATTCCCTTCCTTCTACTTGCTAGTACTATTGACTCTTTGGACCTCATCATACTTACTGAAATCAGCATCCTAGGATGCTTGCTTCCAAGTCATCTTCAGGACAGAGCCCCACACTGGCCATCACACAACATTGTGTGGCTTCTCGCAAAGGCTCTGCCCTCAACTGAGGTAGAAGTGCCCTTGCACATTGGATGCTTCCCCAGAAGGCAGGAGGCTCTCCAGGAGGGTGATGCTTTCCTCATGTGATGGGGAAAGCGTTGCCAAGAGGGAGCTGTGTGCAGGGTGACAGATTCACCCCATTGCCCCCCTCCTTTGTCATGGAGGCCAGGCGAAGTGGATAGTTTCACCTGGCCTTTCTGAAAGACCTGCCCATTTTTGATGCAATGACAGAGCAGCTAGATATATTTATTATATTGTAATACAGAAGTCTGTATATCATTATTATTTTCTTGGAAAGCCACCAGTTTACAAAGCATGTAAAACACAACTGAAAAATATGATTGCCATGAAACACAAAAACATACATGACATTGTTGGTTCATAGGCTTCCATCTGAACTATTCGGAGACTAATTTATGACACTTTCCTCACTCTCTCATTGGGTTTGAAAAACTGGGGAGTAGTTTTCATGTGATATTGAACTTTCAAGTTGGCAGATGGCAGTTACAAAGCTCCCCAGTGAAAAATTAAAATTATTCTCTCCTGACAACAGAGATGAAGTTTATTAAAAAAATGCTGGGTTTTGAAGTCAATCAAATTTCTTCTGCTGGCTTCAAAGCCCAGAATGTTGGTTTAAATTCAGTCTCTTCTCTCCTAGCTAGAAGAAAGCACCTGAGCAGAGACCGTTGTTGAAAGGCTAGGGAAGCCTGGCCCTGAAAAGCAATGAAGATATTTGCTGAGACTGACCTATTGATAGTATGATATGTTTCCTTTCCACACAGCCCACAAAATGTGCATATAACTTCCGTCTGAGTATTAATTTTTTACAGTAACCTTGAAAAGTCTCTTCTGAATACTTATCAGAAAAATATATATTAAAAAACCAACAAAGACTGGTATTCCACTATATCGAATTTGGGGGCCGCATGCCAGGCCAGGGTGGGGAGGGTCTCCCCAAGTCACCTCCCTGCCCTTTCCTCCCCTTCCTCTTCTCTTTCAGAGGCAGAAAGTGAAGGGAAAAGGAAAGTCAGGAAACGTTTTTTTATTGTCTCCATTTGGGCTCTCCAAGTCCAAAACACTTGGAAAGCCCAAGTTTGCCCATGCCTGCTCTAGTGGCATTTGGAGAAAGGCTTGCTTTCAATGATACAGAAGAAGGTTCTTCATCAGATATTTAAAAGAGAAATCATAGGACAGGAAGTCCAACTCGGAATTGCCCCATGGAGAAACTATTACATTTACATAATTTGCTTCCTGCTGGATAATCAGGAAGCTCATTGCTAGAATCCTATTCAAATCTTTTCCTTTTCCTTTAGTGGCACCCTTCTATTGTCAGTTTCCTGCTTCACTTGAAAGGAAGTAGAGCATAGCTAGTAACAAAATTGAGACGGTGCAATCACAGTTGTTTGTACATTCGGGCTCTAATGTACCTCTATTATGTTTGTGCAGCAATCCCATAGGCAACAACCAGAATCATGCTGCTGTACTACATTAGGTGTTGTTCATTTTTTAAAAAACTATCAGCACAAAAAGAACCTTAAGTTGAAACAGTTTGTGTTATCAGATGCAAAAAATCTAAAAGTACGATTTCAGTATTCTGACTCTAATACTGGCCTCATAAATTCAAATAATAATAATAATAATACTTTATTTATCCCCCCCCCATCTCCCAGAGGCAACTCCTTCTTTTGTTTTAGCAAACACAGTTAAAAATTAATGTTATTCCAATTGTAACTTTGTATGGTTCCTATTTTTCTCATGCATTGATATTGCCACCAACCCCTAGAGAGAAGTTTTCTTTGTTACCTCTTACCGACAGTTATTTTGACAGTTCTTTTCTGAAAGGCCATCCTCATCTTCTCCCACAATATCCACAGCCGAAAATATCAGTGCAACCAGAATTGCAAAGCAGCAAACCAGTGCAAAGATCACAATGCATTTCTGCTGGGACTGAAAGAGATTAAGGAGATTAAAATGGAGACAATAAAAATGCCAGGAAATGAAATTGTAATTCTTATGCTGGTAAAAAGAACTGAGTACAGTATGTTGTAATGATCATTAGCATAACAAGTTTAATAAAAAAAACATTTTTGAATCTCATTTGGTTTGATTTAAAACTTATTTAAAATTACTAAAACTCCAAAATATAGTCTCTGAATCTTGATAAGAACATTTAACTGTTTTGTTTTTTGTTTTTATACAGTCTGGCCATAATGGAAATTTATATTAAAATCACCTCTATGTAAATTAATACTTTAAAAATGGGTATCACACATTAGAATATGAAACAGTTGCTTTTCCAACAAAATAATCATGTCACTCCTTTTAACTTACAGACACTATGGCGTGAACATTCACATAAAAAAATAGTTTCAAATTGAAAGAAGCACCCTGTAGGAACAATATTGTGTAACATTATTGCTATATAATGTTGTTGTTCATTCGTTCAGTCGTCTCCGACTCTTCGTGACCTCATGGACCAGCCCACGCCAGAGCTCCCTGTCGGCCGTTACCATCCCCAGCTCCCTCAAGGTCAGTCCAGTCACTTCAAGGATGCCATCCATCCATCTTGCCCTTGGTCGGCCCCTCTTCCTTTTGCCTTCCACTTTCCCCAGCATAATTGTCTTCTCTAGGCTTTCCTGTCTACAGTCCCCATATCCACAGAAAAATATTACAATATTCTTCATGGATATCTGAAACATGGCTAATAAACTCTATATTTTTACTATACTTGGCCCAGATGCACACCATAGAATCACACTGGTGAACTTTGAGAAGTTTACAAACTCTTCTAGTGGAGGGACTGGTATTTATTTTGATGCACAGGTAAATGAAACTGAATATTGCATCTGTGGATAAGAGAGTCATATTGTAATATCCAAAAACACTGAGCTGTAAAGACCACTTCTATTATAATGTTTGTTCCTTCCCATACCCACACGACTCCCATTCCATTTCAGTGCACCCAAACATGAATTAAAGAACATGAAAGGCACTGCAGACTAATTCAACCAGAGGAGTCAGCTATAGCAGAGCACTTGGTGAACCAACCTGGACATAGAACATTATTGGAGAACACAGAAATGCTGGACCACTCTGACAAACATTCTGTCAGACTACATAGAGAAGTCATGGAAATCCACAAGCATGTGGACAATTTCAACAGAAAGGAGGAAACTGAAAATGAACAAAATCTGGTTACCAGTATTTAAAAAAAAACACCAGAATCAAGACAGTAAATGAAGAACACCACACAGAAACAGAGGAATTCCAGACAGCAAACAATCAAGTGCCAGTTAAACAAAGGATGCCTCCAGGCAAACAACAACCAGGCTACCTCTATGCAAATTCCCCCACTGAATAACCTTACAGCTGCAAGGCTACTCAATGCTAATCAAGCTTGCTAACTGCAGCATTCACACTTGCTTCAAAAAGACAAGGGTTCTTCCCCCATCCTGGACATTTCGGATACACACACACACACACTCCACTGGACTCATTTCCAGTAGACCTCTGAAGATGCTGGCCACAGATGCAGGCAAAATGTCAGGAGAGAATGCTACTGGAACATGGCAATACTGCCCAAAAAACTCACAGCAACCAAGTGATTCCAGCCATGAAAGTCTTCGACAACATAACTGTGGTCATCTCCGGAGACCTGAGGTGTCTATAGTACTTGTACAACATTCTTGGGAAGTTTAATGAAAGGTGGCTTGAATGTAGAGAAAGGGTCAACACTGCCTCCCTTTCAGTCCCTATGTAGCCATGGATTCTGGCAGAATCCCCATGGATTCTGGGGTTCATACTTTTGGGGTCTGGTTTTTGACAACACAACTAATGTTCAACAGTAGATTGCCTCAGAGGGCAGTGGACTTTCCATATTTGGCATCTTCAAACAGAGATTGGATGGACATTTCCCAGAAGAGCTTTATTTCTGTGTTCCTGGATTGGCCTTGATTGTGTTTGTGGTCCTTTAGATAGCTCAAATATGATTCTATGAAATGGACTGATGTTATCCCTCAATACATTTCAATTGTCACCTAATATAATATAATGCAATATAATTTAAAGGTATCTTTGAAATGCAGTGGGGGTCATATTATGAAAAAATACACTAATAAAACCTTCATTGTGTTTAATAGAAACTCTTTCTGGTTCCAAACTGTCTAGAATCTACTGCCAGAAAAGAAGTGCTTAAGTTAAGCATAACGTGGAAAAATGGGCATAAGACCGCTTAGAGTCAGTTGTCCTGATATTCAGCATTCTGCCAAAAAGCACAATGCAGGTTTTAAGAAGCCATTGTAGGAAAACAACATTCTTCTTCCATTCTCTCTTGCATATCATTCATGAAATTTCAATGAGCCTTGTCCTTCTGTTTTTATAATGAAAGGATAAAAACCTGCTTCATCATACCAAACATTTATTTAATCAAGTTTTTGCTGTTGTTTTGAACTCAGCAAATAAGGTACTCGCTGCATATTTATCCAGATATTTCTCATGGCTGATTCCTTCCTGCTCCCAATATAGAGCATTACTGTATGTTGTCCTGATTTGATTGTGGCAGTCCCAATTAAATGCAATTTCTATTTTCCAGATGCTTTTCCTTCTTAGTCCTCTGCCAGGGGGACAGGCAAAGAAGGGGCACTTCCTAGCAGGCTCGGGCAAAGGCCCAAATTGCTGCATTCTTTCTTTGCTTGTGTGTTCTTCCTCATTAATGACGTTTGCCATCAAGACCACACTTCGATGCTGCTTGTCAATTATTATTATTATTATTATTATTATTATTATTATTATTATTATTATTACCCACCTCTCTTCGAGGCAGGTTACAACATAGCTTAAAACACAATAGCTTAAAACACATACATATTGTAGAAAATACATATATTACAACTTTTTTCTGTGAAATACATATATTAAAACACAGAGAACAAAGATTAAAATATAGTGAACACAAGAGTTGAGTTGAAAATTCATATTTAAAACTGACTGGGTAGACCTGCTAGAAGAGAGATGTCCTAGTTTTCATATAAAAAGTTGAAATGTATAATACAATAGATGGTTAAATTCAGTTTCTGGGTATTATCTTGCCTCATAATATATATTAAAGATTAATAATGCAAGCAATCATTTATAGGTGACTTAAAAACCGCTTTGAGTCCCCCTAGGGGTGAGAAAAGCAGTATATAAATACTGTAAATAAATAATAAATAAATAAAACTGGGAATTAAATCAGACTTGAAAGGTATGGACTGTGCAAAAAAAAAAGTACTGGTGTTTCTTTATGTCAACTCCATTATGATACAAAGTCCCATAACTTGGGTATCCTCTATAGCTCTTGAAAACTGAATATGTATTTACCGTTAAAAAGAATATTTTGCTATATATATATATCTCTCAGGAATTTTCCTCTTTTTAAAAAAAATCTGGGGATATTTTCATGATACCTCAAAATTATGGCACATAGAAATATAACCAAAAGAAAGTATTGTATTTGTTTAGCTCTAGTGACATTTTGATACATTAGAATACTTAAAACAGTGACACTGTTATGCTCCACTGAAATTAAATGAGAACAAAGATAATTGCATCACCCTTATATGTTCCAAAAACATAGAAATGCGACTGCAGCATAATTCTGAAAAGCATCTGTTTAATTCTCCAACCTGTCATAAGGTTAAACTAATATATTCAACATGAGCCAGAATTGCGTTCATTGGTATCTTGGCTCACAGCATTAATACAATGTACCCAAAATATTTATATTCCATTTACTGCAACATAAAAGCAGCCAGTATTCAGAACAACCAATGTCTACTTTGTATTGTTCTTATTTCATTGTGAGGTAATATTTATTAAGAAGCAGTACAATATATACTCATGTACATGTTTTGAAATTTCAGCCAGAAAAGTGACCAAAAAAACTCGGTCAACTTATCCACAGGTCACTGAAAGTGTAGTACCTTATCTACTCTCTCCACCACAGTACTACTTCTCACCTTTTTGGATACTTGAATGGGAAAATGCCAGAGGCACTCTGTGGAGATGCTGGAACTTCCCCCTCCGTGTGGAATGAGCCTCAACTCATGCATGGGGCAGGCACATCAAAATCCATTTTTGCTACATAATCACCCTATATACAAGGTTGATTTATACACGAGTAATGAGTATATATGTTATATTAGTAAAGTATCTCTCAAAAAATTGTTGAATTCTGTTCTTCTGCCAAGTGGAAATTTTCTAAGTGCCACACAACTACAAAGGTGTCAGTAGCAGGAAGGAGCCCCCACTGGCGCAATGGGTTAAACCCTTGTGCCGGCAAGACTGCTGACCAACAGGTCAGCAGTTTAAATCCTGGGAGAGCGGGTTGAGCTCCCTCTGTCAGCTCCAGCTCGCCATGCGAGGACATGAGAGAAGCCTCCCGCAAGGATGGTATAACATCAAACATCTGAGCATCTCCTGGGCAACGTCCTTGAAGACGGCCAATTCTCTCACACCAGAAGCGACTTGCAGTTTCTCAGGTTGCTCCTGACATGAAAAAAAAAGTAGCAGGAAAAGATGTCACTCCTTTATGGAAAATAGAGGACACTGGACTAAATGAATCCCTGGACATAAGAAGCCAGATAATTTATATGTTTAATACACAAATGCAAAAAAAATATATATAATCATCTAACTACCTCATCAGATGGGGCTTATTTATTTATTTATTTATTTACATCACTTATATCCCGCCCATATCAGCCCGCAGGCGACTCAGGGCAGTCTACATATTGGCACAATTCGATGCCATCAATACAATACAAAAGCAAAAACAATTAAGTGCATTTAGACAAATGCACTTGGGAAGTGTCCTTTGTTTCTTTGGTGATGCCAGGTGAAGTGGGATGCTTTGTTTGGCTCATGTGATAGTTGATTTATCCTGTGCAATATTATGTGTTTTAAGATTC